GGCTTGTTTTACAACGTCGTTGCCAAGCGACGAAAACCCAACCCCGATGGCAAACACCGTTCTAGGGGGGGGGGATCATTTCCTTCCCTTTCCTCTCTCTAGCTCTCTGCCCGTGTCCCCAGGCAGCGCATCTCCCCCGCTCTCCTACCAGGCTCAAAAAAAAAAAAAAGCAGTCTGCGATCTACTTCACGGGTTTGGGTGTTGGTGCAGATACAAAACGCCCGGTACGTACGACTTGGTGGCGTTGATGGTTATACCCGTTGACTGTCGATGGTTTGTCGGGTGATTTCATGTTCTTCGGTCTTCATGCATAGCAGCTGCTTGCACCCGAGCATCCATACCCGAACAGTCCCTCGATGTGTTCAACAAGGGAAATAACGATACATGCGCTGGTGCCAGGGTGGTGATTTCAACAGGCCTTGGGTGTGTGTAAGTGGCCCGAGTTTCGTGCCAAATTTCTTACGAGTGTGTCGGGTACCGGTAAGGACGTGCACCAACCCATACGGACGGCTTGTACGACTCTCAACCAAGATGAAGAGATGTCATGCGATGATAGTACAAGGCGCCGTCTGTGCGGGCATGCAGTCTACCTTGTAGGTGCTTGTTGTGCAAGCGAAAAATGCCGAGCGAGGCCGGGTAGTTTTGCACAGCACGTACGTAGGTAATGGCGAAGTTTGCAGAGCGCTAAGGAGCGGATAGGGGAGGCCGCTAGTGGGTCTCTTCTGAACGGATTGGCCAAGACCTCCAAGCACTTGTAGAGGTGAAATTGTCTTCCCTCTTTCATGCTTGACGCTCTCGAGGAGTAGGACGCAAGAGACAAGAGATGTTGGGTTTGGGGCAATGGTGGCCAATTGCTCCGCACCATTTTCTTTCCCTCTGGCCAAGAGGTGGGAGGAGCCTAGACAATACCGCTGGGGGTGGGTGGGCTGCTGACATCATCATTTCGCTGTCAGAGGCTATAATGAAGAGTACAAACGCACGGCAGGCGGCGGCCGAACCGCGGCGCCACCCGGGTCACGAAACACCACCACCCCCGTTTGCAACCTCTCGAAGAGTCTGCAAACAATGCGTAGCAGCAGTGTCGTCTTTGAATGATAATGACAACTGCTATCTCGACCAGAGCTGAGGGCGCCGCAATACTTCGCCCCGCAACTTTCCGGGACAGCCGCGCTTGTCGCGGCCGTGCATTGCACATGAGGTAACAGATCACCACGCGACCCAATCCCCCCCCCTGGGGCATTTCCCCGTTTTCCGGGGAAAACGCGCACCTGCCCGCGAACGTGTTCCTCTCCTTTTCTGTCCTTTTCTGGGGAAATGGTTCCTTCGGTCCTTCGAGCTTCGTCGCCACGCGACCAGTTCCGCGATGCTCCTCCCGCCACCGGGCCCTTCTCCCACGGGGGTATCAGCGACTGTACACGGGTTCTCTCCCTTTCCCGAGCGTCGCCTCCTCTTGTCTGCTGCGCGCGTGTGCGTGAGAGATGGGACAGATGCAGCGGGGACGTACGGAAAACCCTGCGTTCTTGTTGTGGCAACCCGGGGAATATTTTTCGAGCTACCGATCGGCCCGGGGAAATTTCCCTTGGGGTCGGGGACAGAGGAAACGCCGCGGCGGCCGCGGACAGAACGCATGGGTTGCCGGGAGTAAGGACAACACGGCTGGCTTCAAGTCACAGATACTGTTTCCTAGTGAGTAGGGCTTTTGGCGCAATTGCTCCTTTCGAAATGTCATGTCATCGTGCCGAAAGAGCGATGGGTATATTTTTTTGGGTGCTATTCGGCGTCATACGACTCTTTTGTTAAAACATTCTATGCACGTTGGTCATTCAGTAATCGCCGGTGTTGGCGTGTTGAAGCTGACAACACCCGCCCGCCGCCGTGCGGGTGATATAATTCGAGCGTCTGCCGTGCTCTGTACGAGGCGTCTCTTCTACTTTTAGCCTAGACCCCCTTCCCGACCTATAAATACGATGCACAGCAGCAGTAATTAATCATGCTGTTGGTCTCGCATGTACGCTCTGTGGCACTTTCAGTGTAGACTCGGCTCTTGTGTCTAATGTACCTTATCTAGATGCGTATGAAAACAATGTACCAATACTCCCCCCATTTTTCGCAATATGTGTAGACTACGTTAGTAGGCTGGCCAAAAACAGATGGGGAAACACACATGCACGTAGCAATGTACTCTCACCCTCAGATATGGTGTATGCCAATACTCTCACCTTCAGGTGTATGTGCGGACATGCAGCAGTCTAAATGCGGAAGCGCTGACGACGCGCCCGCGGTGGCACCTAAAGTAGCATTTGAAGGCCTTGAATACGTAGATTTTCCAAGTCGTAGAAGAGGTGAGGGCGGTGGTGGCCTGGTCCATCGTGCATGGATTTTGCCCTAACCTGTCTGTGTTTGGTTTTGTTGTTCCCTCCGGAGGAAAAACACAAACATTTTGGAGCATGTGCAAGCTCGGCACCTTCTACCCGTCGTTGTTCTGGTGGAAGGCTGCTGTTTGTTTTGTACTTCTGTCTGTGTGTGGGTGTAGTGATCGTCGGGTCAACATGTTTTTTTTTTGCTTCAGTCACGCATCAGTCGGTAGTACATTGTACAAACGATGGATTAACATCATTCTGTAGCAGTGAGGAACGCCTGTACTGCTGCACATCACGCAAGGGAACGCCCGAACGAATTTTCCGTAAACAACTTTGACTAGTCTATACCTGCGGTAGAGTACGGTCAACGTTTGTTTGTTTGTTGGGGAAACTTCGAACAAATAACAGCCGACCCGGTGGACAGGGCGATGATTTGATGAGCGTTGCTTACGACCGAGCTTCGGATTCTCTTTTGTGTTGCAACGATTAATCCTTTGTAGATGCTGCTGCTGGCCTTTGCCCACGCAAGCCGAGGGTTGATGTTGCTATTTATCGACGAAACATCCAGGCTGAAAAACGAATTGTCTTTGCGAATTATGCAGGGCCCCTTCCTTTCTTTGTCTCCGGACGTGAGAATAGTTTTTCTCTCCGGATAGTCTAGACAATGGGTAGTTTCTGTCTCCGGATATGGCTGAGTCCGGATATGCGTCTTGTTTCTTTGTCTCCGGAAATGGGTGGATCCGGATATATATGGATTTTGTGCGGTTGTCTCCGATATGGGTAGTTGGGTTGCCATGGAGTCACTCAACCCCAAACAGACTTTTCCAGGGTGTTGGGGCAAGCGGGCGCAAGCAAAAGGTATGCCAACTTCATCCGCCCACTAGACCAGACGGACTGGGGGCTGCTCCAGAAGGTTAATCTCGGGGAGAACATTAGATCATGAGGCTCCTCTGAAGACAAGTAAGCCCGGGGGTGGCGGATTCAGTCTCCAGGCCCAGATGACATACTACACGGACTTGACACCGGTACGACAGCAACAATAGAGACTGTCCAAGGGATGGAGCACAGGTCAACATGCACGAGCCGTTAAAATACGCACTATCGAGAGCACTCAACGGCCTTCGCGTCAAACACGACGTTGAAAGCGGGACACCGTTCACGGGGGAAAGAAACCTGAGCATGGACATCGTCATCAGGCCAGGAGCCCTCACGAACGCATCTTCTCCGGGGTACCGCAACAAAGGAATACTCCTCGATGTCACACACGCAGACCCGCAAGCACAGGTACACTTGCGGAACGGCAGCGCGACCAGCGATGGAATCGCAGCCCAAGCATCCGAGGCGCGAAAGCGTCAGCACTACGCTCGTCCGGGACACGTGTCCTTTGACGAACGCAGCTTTAAACTTACCACCTTAGCCGTGGAAAGCTTTGGCCGCCTTGGAGAGGAGGGTTACGAGTTCATCGATGAACTTGCGACACATGCCGTGGGAGGAAGGGACGGAGGAACGATGGCTCTGAAAGGAGTCTTCAAGGAACGACTTCTTC